TAACTTGTCCACATTGCTTGCCGAAGGGCCAAATCTGCTGCACTGGCACTAACAATGTCCCTGCTGTGGAGACACCCTCTCGCTAGGGACAAAGGCAGCCGATACAGCAGGTAGCGCTTTGTAACATGCCAACTAAGGATATTTGGCGTTTGCAATAGCTTTTGGCTCTGTCTAACTGTTTTGCGAGTGGTGGAGGCTTAAATACTAGTGGCGAGTTGGGTTGCACTTCAGTCTTTTTTCTTTTTGGTACTGGTGATAATTCACGGTTCGGGTGATGCCTTTTCAAATGAGTGTGCAAAGTTTGATGTATTAGCCAGCCGCGTAACCGATGTTAGTTGAACAATGCTGACAAACAGCTTTGGTTCGGTCCACCTGTCTTTGTCCGTCATCCTTGTACGTAACTGCGAAACCAAAATGTTCCCAAACCGGAGACTTCAATGATGCTGGAGGATTTTCAAGCTCAACTTAATCTGCGTTCGCCATTTCGACAAGTTCCTCAAATTACTGACTACATTTGAACGCATCCCTGTGACCAGCCCTCATAGTATGCCTCTCGTCCAATGAAATGACTTGGTCGCACTATGACGCGTTGAACCCAATGTGAGCAAATTACTCTGAATGCTGCGACGCAGCACCTGAGATTACTTCCAAAAGTTGTTCACGTTCTCAATTTTTTAAGTGTAACGTTACATTCGTTCGGTACACTTCGGTACACATGTGTACCGAACTGAAGGGCCCGTACCGAATAATTTCGGTACGGGTACGTGTACCGTTACACCCCTACTGCTGATGTATTTAATGTCGTAGAACAAAACGTGATCCATATCTTAAATTTGTGTAAACCTCAGACCTTATTTCGGGCTATTTTCCAAAATCCTATGGAGAAATTTGATCACATTTAAAGATAAACCCATTACACTACCATCGAGAGAAAATATGGATATAGTATGTTATCATGGAATTAATCAAGTTCCAGCATTAGAAAAACACCTAGCCCCCCTAACAGTGGAAATGGAAAGGTTACGTTTTAGAGATTTTCCTAATGTCTGACTATAAAATGGTGACTGAATCACTACATTTCCTTTCTGAAACATTTCCATGACTTTCCTTTATTGATCTGTAAAGGAGACCTTAGTGTTATTGTGACGTCTAGTGTACAGCCAAACATAAGTCCTAATCGATTTAGAGGATGACGGTAATTACTAATTACAATCAGCTATTCAACGTCATGTTGCCACAGTGAATTGTCAACAGGAAAGGGATCACTGCATGATTCGAGGCAACATGAAATCTGTAATGAATCGAGTGCAGACATGGGCAGCCACACCTCAACCATCTCAGGTAACAGCACACTTGCCTGCCAGTCACCCATTAAACTGTATTTGACACAACAGGCTCAGGTGACACTTTCCTCTCGTTTGAGTCGAAGGCGTTTGTTTATTTTCTACCTTTCCTGTGTATGCTAGGTCTTTTAAATCAGGGATGATTTTAAACTCCATCTTCCAGTTTAGAACTACTTGCACATAAAGAACGCAACTTAAGTTTCATGTATTGCCTACAGAAATATTTTGAAGAACAAGTAAGGTGAAGATGTTCTATAACTGTTAGCCTGATAAAATGATGTAGAAAAGCTCTTAATCACCCATTTGTGTTGTTGCTTGTGCCTGCTCTACACTAGAGGCCTGTCAATGAAAAGAAGGGCAATGAAAACATTTAGCCTGTAGAGTAACAGTAAATCACAGGTCATAATTAAAACTCAGGAAGATGAACAATGACTTATTAGAAGCTGGCATATCACAAAAAACTCAGCAAAATTAAGGCTAAAATTTAAAAAGCTTTAAAAAGGGAAATTATGGCTTGAGTAAAAAATAAAATAAAATGAAAAGTCGAAAATAATTGAAAAGTGATTAAAAGAGACCCCTGCTTTAATTTGTTAAAAAGGGAGATTCAATCAGTGAAAATTGCACAACCTCAAGAAACAATCTTTTAGTTTAAGGGAACGTACGCCTGGGTTAAAGTATGCAGGGATGTGCACACTCAATTACCAGTTTATGTGTGGGGAATGACTTGTGAATGTGTTTTGTGCATACGTGTATTGCTTACAAATCTGGACCTGATTGTTTTATTTACACATAATAAGAGTGAACAATGTGATCTCAAAATAGATGAACAGAAACAAAAAATATTCTTTGGAAACCTGGTTCCAAATGTGATAATTTCCCAAATATACTTTTGTGGTTACACTTAACTTTGATTGAAGATTACATTTTCATATTACGGCAATCTGACACTAGCTGGGTCTCTCGGTATGCTGGAGAGGACATAAATATCAGCCATTGAGTCAGTTATACAAAAACAGAAGTTGACTCAAGTGTTTTGTCAGCTTAGTTCCCTTTTCGGCAGACAGCTCAGTAGTCATGCAGAAAAATGATACAAGTTCCCACTGTATCATTTCATCTCCTGCTCTTTTGACTGTACTGTAGACATTTAGGCAGCTTGTGTTAAGATGTGAATCCTTAAGCTCTTCATTTAGAGACAGGTGGAACATGATACTCACGAGGAGTCTCCTTAAACATTTCTGACACCCGATATCCACCACCGCCACGACCCACTGTACCTAGCTGTCGTTTCCCCTTTGCATATACCTGGGGTGGACACAATAACAAGAACACCTACACAATCTAATGCAGAAATTAGATACAATTAAGGCAATTAAGGTTGGGAGTGACAGACAGGCAGTGAATAACAAACGTCATAAATTGTTGCTCTTGTACTGTAAAGCATCATCTGTCCACTTATTATGTGTACTTTGAGTCTATACCACATTACTTAGCCAGCTTCTGATGTCATTTCAAAGATAGATTTAGCTTAACACAGTACTAATTAGGCATTATTCGGTCCTACCACAGTATGTAGTGCCACAGCAAAGGCAATAAGGCCACAATGACTCACTGCAGTTGCCATACTTAAGCCTTACACCTCCTGCTGACCAACACTGGAAAACCCCAACTGCAAAGGGTGCAAACCTCAAGTAGTTTTTCCCACGTCTGTTCAATGTCCATTAAGTATCAGTGCCTTTCCATTTTGACCACATGCATTGTGTGTCTGAAATAAACACCAGCTTCACTTTAATATCAAGCGCATGAGAAAGATAAGAACAGGATGTCGGGTAGATTAAAAAAGTGTTTCCAGATCAGGTTAGTCTGGTGAATTGATTAGAGGATATTGTGTGTAATAATATAATAGGTATTTCCAAGTTGTGTTTGTCTTTTTGCCCAAATCCTAATTTGAGCCCATTTATAAATTGGGTATTCACCCACATAGAGGTCAATCTGATACCTATATAGTTTCTAAATGTACCAAGCTGCTTTATTTCAAATACTAAATGACCTGGGTTTTCAAAACTATTAAATAAGATATTCATAGACTTCCATCCATCCATCCATCTTCTCCCGCTTATCCGTGGTCGGGTCGTGGGGGTAGCAGTTCCAGCAGAGAGCCCCAAACTTTCTTTTCCCTGGCCACATCAACCAGCTCTGACTGGGGGATCCCAAGGCGCTCCCAGGCCAGCGAAGAGATATGATCCCTCCACCTGGTCCTAGGTCTACGCCTTGGTCTCTTCCCAGCTGGACGTGCCTGGAACCCAGGAGGCATCCTAACTCGGTGCCCGAACCACCTCAACTGGCTCCTATCGACGCGAAGGAGGAGCGGTTCAACTCCGAGTCCCTCCCGGATGACTGAACTTCTCACCTTATCCCTAAGGGAGACACCAGCCACCCTG